GGTAGTGCACACCTGTAATCCCCACACTGTGGGAGGCTGAGTCAGGTATATTGTAAGTTTTAGCCCAGTATGGGCAATTTAGCAACTTAGCAAGACCATATCTCAAAACAAAAAGTAAAAAAGGGTTAAGGATGTAGTTCTGTACCAAGGGTCTGGGTTCAATCTCCAGTATTGGGGGGAAACATAAAGTAATGTCTCTGAACTGTCCTAGGGTGATGATGACTACCACATAGTAGATGTCTACTTCTCAGAGCCTGCCGTAGCTCTGCGCTCTGTTCCCGTGGGATCATCTCTTTCCCAGGAAGTCAGTTTTTCAAGACAGGCAGAAACCTGGCTGGCTCTCCTGCTGTCTCCAGTCACGTCCAGCACAGTGACTCTTGCGTTGAGCACCGCCATTACGTGCAGAGCCAGCAGCAGAGCCAGCACCTGTTACACACTTGAGCTCTTGGGGCTGGGGGTATAGCGCAGCAGTAGAGTGCTTGTCCAGCATGTGGGCAGCCCTGAGTTTGATCCCTGGCACAAGAACAACAACAAAAGCAAGCAGGCAGGGGCATTGGAGTTGGACATGGTTTGGATCCTGGTCTTTCCCGTTTCCATCCTTTCACTGTGCAGCTGTGTGGCTTTGAGTGACCACTAAATTTGATGAATCAGATCATTCATTGAATGATCATTCAGTGAATCAGATCATTAATTCCTACCTGTAAAAGGGGTGATCTTTATCCCAGAGGGCTGTGGGAAGGATTAGAAAAGGGTAGTATAGATGAAACGGCTGGCATGTGAGAATGCAGCCCACAGTCCCTTTTCTGAACCCTACCGAGCCAAATGTGTTTTGGACTTGGAAGTTTTTGGATTTTAGGATGGTGATATGTTATGTATACAGTGAATTATATACAGTGTGACCCACGCGCACACACACAGCAGCATATCAAGGGGAGAAGAACACTTTTTTTGCGGGGGGAAGATAGGGTTTTGCTATGTAGTTCAGGCTAGCCTTGAACTCACGGCGATTGAACTCACGGCAATTGTCCTGCCTCAGCCTTCTAAGTGCTGGGATTACAGGAGTATACCACCATGCCTGGCTCACAAGTGGGAGAAATGAAGACTATAAATATCTTTGTGCCGCACACTTAGAAAAAAAATACAAAACACTTTTTCAGTTTTTAATAATTTCTGGAGCTAGGAATTACTATTAAGAGATTATTGACTTCATGATCAGGTCAATATACAATAGTGTTGACATAAGAAAAATGGACCAGTAAGGCAAAATAGAGAATCCAGAAGTAAAATCTAGAACAAATGAGGATTTAATACAGTCAGTGTAGTAATTCAGATCAGTAGGCATGAAAACAAAATTGTGTGGTCTGTTTTGCTTATATAAAAATAAAGAGCATATCAAGAAAAACTGTGGGAGGCTTTAGGATTAGAAAACTGGAAGTTGTGAAAGAGAAGGTAGCTGTTTGCCTCTTCCAGCAGTGACAGTGATGATAAAAAAGCCATCTTGACCTATAAAGTCAGTGGAAAAACGAATAGATTAGAAAAAAATGTACAATTCAGAGGACAGACAATTTAATATGTAGAAACTCATAAACTGACAAAAGGATAAACAGAAAAAGGAGTTTTTCCAAAAGAGCAAATCCACTGCCTGGCAAGCGCAACGTCGTGAGTTCGGTTCCCGGTACCGGAGAAAAACAAAAAAACAAAAAAAAACCAAAAGAGCAAATCCAAAGCACAAATGAAAAGACGTTCACCTTTGCTAGCTGGAAGTATAAGCTAAAGAAGCAGTGAGATCTCCTTTTCTTACTGTCAGATTGACAAAAATGAAGAGAACATTACTTACAGGGGTGTGGAAGGAGCTAGGGATGCAGCTCAGTGGCAGTATATTTATCTAGACCCTGGGTTCCATCCCTAGCCCTGGAAAAAAAAAAATGGAGAAAAGGTACTCTTTGACATTGCTGGTAAAAGTGAACTGTAGCTCTTAAACTTGCTATGAAAGATGCTCAGCACCAGTAACCATTAGGGAAATGCAAATCAAAACCACAAGATACTGCCTCATGCCTATTAGGATATCCTCTGCCACAAACCAGGAAGAGCTGTGCACAGTGGTGCGGTTACTTGGGAGGCTGAATCAGGAAGGTTACTTGAGTGCAGGAGTTCGAGACCAGCCTGGGTAGCATTAAAACAAGTAATAACAGCGCCTGCCTGGCAAGCGCAAGGTCGTGAGCTCAATTCCCAGTACCGGAGAAAAACCAAAAAAAAAAAAAAACAACAAACAAACAAGTAATAACAGAAACTCCAGCAAATAAATATCAAGAAAGACGTGGAGAAACTGGAATCCCTGTATACTTTTGGTGGGAATCTTAAATGGTGTGTCTGTTACAGAAAACAGTATCATGGCTCCTCAGAAAATTACAGATAGAATTACCATGTGATTCAGCAGTCTTATTCTCAATATACACCTGAAATAATTGAAAGCAGGATGATATCAAAGATTTATTTGCATACCTGTGTTCATGGCAGCATTATTCATGACAACCAAGAAATAGAAGTAGTCTATATTTAATTTCGTACTTACTTACTTAATTTATTTGATCTTGTTATGTAGCCCAGGCTGGCCTTGAATCCACTATTGTAGCCCAGGTTGCCTTTGAACTCACAGAGATCCTCCTGCCTGGACTCCCTAGAGTTACAGGTGTGAGCCATCATGCCTGGCTTACATGTAATTTTTGAGGAACTGCCATACTGTTTTTCATAGTGGATGCACCATTTGATGCTCCCCCCAACAGTATGCTTGTTTTGTAATTTCTCTGCATGTTCATCGGTACTTGGTTTTGTTTGTTTGTTTTTTAAAGAAGCCATCCTTGTAGGTGTGAGGTGGTATCTCACTGTGGTTTTGATTTGCAATTCTCTAATGATCAGAGATGTTGCACATCTTTCATACACTTGTTGGCCATTTGGGTACCTTTTTTTGTTTTGTTTTTTAGACAGGGCCTTGCTAAATTGTCCAGGCTGGCCTTGAATTCGTGATCTACCTGCTTCAACCTCCCAAGTGGCTTT